TAGAAAAATCATCCCCAAATGACTCCAAAACATCCCCAATGAATAGATATAACGTCAAACACATTCCAAGCTATAAATACAAGCTAAGGACACTTGAAGAAACAAGAGAACAACTATCCAAGCAATCAAACACAAGAGAAGAGCTTTTTATTCTTATTTTCCTTTCTCTTGTAAATATTTGTTCTTGTGAGCTTAATTCTTGTAAACACCTACCTTTGAGAGGATTATTTGTTTACTTCTTTTATCCTTTTGTAAAAGGGAAAGGTTCTAGCTAAGCCCGTGTAAAAGCTAGGGAAAAGTTCTAGTTTAGCCATTGAAAAACTAGGGAGTTGTAAAGGTTATCTCTTTGTCCTTAAAAAGAAAGAACAAATTAGTGAATTTGTTGAAAAATCCTTGGTGAGGAGCTAAGGGAGTGGATGTAGACTTGGTTGAGAAGTCGAACCACTATAAATCGCTGTACAATTCTCTATCTTTCAATCTCTTTACTCCCTAAACACAAAAACCGTTTCGACCCCTCTTTGCAAACCGTTTCAGTTGCCGATTCGAGCTTCTGTATATCCTTGCAAGAATGAAATTGAGGACTGTGTTGCAAGTTTTAAAAGTTGGGGACCTAAATGCAAGCGCCTGAAAAGTTTAGTGACCATATTGCAATCAGACTAAATGTTGGAGGAGGGCCATGTCATCTTCTTCTAACGACAGTGTAACGGCTGGTTACGTCGGGAACCATATTGCAAACGGACTAAATGTTGGAGGACTGTATTATAAGTTTTAAAAGTGGGGGGACCTAAATGCAAGCTTCAGAAAAATTCAGTGACCATTACTATATTTTACCCTTTTATTAAAAATGATGTTTCTTTAAAAAATAATATTATTATTAAGTTTTCTAAAAAAATAAAAATTGTAATATATATATAAACAAAGAACAAAATCGGTAGAAATAATACTGTTTTAGGTAATTTTTTTACCGATTTTGTTATTTAAATAATAACAAAACCAGTAGCCTTTTTTTAGGCGTATATTAAGGATGTCGCACTGTAGAACTTCCCTCTTAGGGAAATGATCATGTGAGGAAGAACTTCTCATTTTCTTGTTCTCCAAAGGCTGTTTTTTTTTTCTTTGGTCAACGGTATGACTACAAATTATCATACATTAGGGAATATTAGAAGGACCTCATTAAAAGTCTCCCTACACCTAAGGGAGCGTTTGGTTCAGGTCATATTGGATTACCGGGGGGAATGAAATGTCATTCCCCCATTTGGTTGACAAACATTCTTATCCCCGGTAATAAGTTATTCCCAACAGTGGTATTTTGAGGGTATATTACCGGTAATGTTATTACCCCTACCCTTAGGTATTATTACATTCCCGGCGTTTTGGACTAAAATGTCTTTAATTTTTTTTTCCCAAAAATATCATTCTTCTGTCATTTAATAAAAAAAATTCTACGAAGATTAAAAAAACAAATTTATCCTTAAACTATTTTATATTTATAAAAAAAGTCCATAATTAGAATTTTATATGAAGTTCAAGGGTTAAAATAAAATTTTACCCTTTCATTAAATCTATTTATCTTTTCAATTTTGTAAAAAAATTATATAAATTTTATGAATTTAAATTTTTTAAAGAAAATATATAAATTAAGAATAGTAAAATTATAGTAGAATTCCACTTGTTAAAAAATAAATATATAATAAGAATAATTTGGTAAAATATACATTCTAATAATTTTTTATTCCTTTAACAAAATACTGTAATCTTACATTTTTATTAAACGAACCAAATACAAAAATACAACTTTCTTCGTAATCTTATTCCCACTGGTAATTATATTTTCACTGGTATTCTTACATTCCGTAAACCAAACGTACTCTAAAAAGAATAAAAAAAAATACCCTTTCTTAGACCTCCCGACACCTCCCGACACCCAAAGGGTGTCTTGTTGTTTATGCAGATTATCAAAACGCATGTTTTGATAACGATATTTACCTAATTAATTAATTATATTTTTATGCATTGTTTTATAATCCACTTGTATGGTTTTTACTAGAAACTTTTTTAAAGTATAAGATTCCATATATTCTTTGATTTGTTGTCTTCTAAAAACTTTATTCGCTCCGAATATTTTATTAAATTTCTTTGTTTCTATTTTTAATGTTTCATGCCCAAATACTGTGTTGTACAAATCATCAGCCAAAGAACAGCTCTTCATTGAGGCCATAAAAAAAATATTACTCTTCATAAAGCAAGTCTCATGCCCTTTGAGATTCTCAAATTGTTTGGACTAAGCGAATTTAATTAATTAATTAACTCTTAGAATAGAAAATGGTTTCATTAAATTCATGTCTGGATAATTATGTATGTAAAATATTTGTACAATACTGATAATTAAGAAAGATTCTAAACAGATACTACCTTATAAACAAATTGCACAAAAAAGTGGATTCATTGCCGTCATTTTCAGTTACTATATTCCGGGTAGAGATGCAAAAATTGTTTCGACTCAAAAAAATTGACTGAAATCAATTAGAGTATGAACTATTTGTGACACGAGGTGACTATAACCCGAAATTGATTCAATTTCAAATTGATATTGACCTAAACTCGAGTTGGGCCTATTTATTTTGGATTTAAACTCGACCTCAATCTGACCTGAGAACGATCTGAGTACGAATTGAACTTGATAATATGATAATCGATTCGGACTTGCATCCGACCTGATATGAACCCGAATTCTAGATTAACATGTAAATAACTGATATAAGCCGACTTGAAAAGATCCGAGATCTGATTTTTCCTGATCTGTAATTGACTCAACTTGTTAATTGACTCGTCTTGTAAATAATCTGACTTATTATTAAACCGTTTTGATATTGATCCAACTTAATATTTATCTAATTTGTAAGTTGTAAACTTATAATTGTCAACTGGTATTATAATATGATAACTGACAAAATAATATAAGAATACCACTCAAATTCACACAAAATTACCCAGATCGATCATTTCAAGAAAAAATATGCAAATTTTTAGGGTCGACCATTTCAAGAATTTTTCTTCTTAAATTTATAGATTTAACGGTAAAAGATGTGAACGCAATATCCAAAACTAAACCAATTCTTATATTTTTTTAGTTGAACTAATTTATGTTTGACAATATTAAATGAATCTTCCAACTTGTCACTCTTAATGTTGGATCAACTTAGTCCAAATTGAAATTTTAATCAATTGTTTTAGCAATTTGATTTTTTCAATAGAGTGCATAAGACTCTTGAAGATACCGTGGGTGAGGTGCAACTGTATGCATGAAAAGAGCCGCAACCATTTATCAAATTGCTAATAAATTGATTTCTTATGATTAAATTATAATCCAAGTCATCATATTTGTTTGTACATTTAAAACTAAGTCTTTTCATTTTTAATTTTAAAGAGTTGAATAATATTTTGATTTTTGATATTGTAATTCATTGTCACTTTGATGCCTGAAATTCTTCTATTCAATTCGATTTCTAGATTTTTCTTCTGTTAAACATGTTACCCCGCTATATTCTTACATTACAAAACAGTCATATAATATTCTAAGAACGTGCCATCTAAAATACCATGTGATAGATAATATATATTAAAATTAAGAAAGTTGTAAATTCATAAAATATATTTAAAAATCCAAAAAAAATTCCACAAAAATTCCAGTTTTTTAAAAATATTTTAAAGATTTTATAAATTTTATAAGGCTTAATACAAAAATAAGTGCACAAACTTTACCTCCAAATACGTTTTAGTTTCTAAAGAATTTTTCGCTAAAAATATGTGCCTAAAGTTTCAAAAGTTATATTTTTAAGCGCCTGGACGTTAACCACCGTTAAATATCTCCGTTAAGTGACATGTGTCAAGTTTTGATTTTTTTGAGAATTTATTTAAAAAATAAAAAATATTTAAAAAAATCAAATAGAAAACCCTGTGCAACTCCCCTCCCCCTTCCAAAGTCGCCGGTTGGCGGGCGGTGATTGTCACCTCCACCGTTATCATCACTGGTATCGAACCCCGATTAAATCCCTGTTGGCCTTGAGTCGTAATACGCCACTATTTTTCGTGGAGGAGCGTTCAAAAGTTCATCGGATTTTAAGCCTATGTCATTGTTCTTCATCGATTCTGACATCCATATGCCACTGCCGCCATCATTCGAACCACCGTTCTATTCTGATCAAAATCCAACCGTTGGACAACGACGATGATGGTCAACGACCGTTTAGGTTAAAAAATTAAAATTGAGAATTAAGGAATTATATATTGAAAATTTTAGATTTAGGGATTTTGGGTGACGATAAGGACAACGATTGATCAATGGGTAAATGGCGTTCAACGATAACGATGGTGGTCAAAGATGGCCGACAACGGTTGACAATATGGTTGATATGAGAGATTTGAACTTTTTTAGTCTTTTTTATAATTTCAATGAAAATTGAGTTTTTTTATAAATAAATTAAACATTTTTATTTTATAATTAAAAATAATATTTTTATTATTAAAAAATAAAAAATAAACGATAGACACCTAAAAGTATAACTAAAAAAATGTTAGAAACATATTTTTAACGAAAAATTCTTTAGACACTTAAAACATATTTCAAGGATAAATTTGGACAATTATTTTTATATTAAGACATTTTATAATTATATTCAATTCATTCTTAAAAGTGTCACATAACTTTTTTGTAGCAATAAATAAAAAGGAATTTTTCCTAGATATTAAATATACAACTTCAAAAGTCAAAAAATACTATTTCAACACTTTCATAAATACCAAAAATCTATAAATAAACAAACTCTTCTTCTTTCCCAACATTATTAAAATGGGGAAATAATAGCTTCCAAAGTACACAATTCTCATCATCCATGGCAGTAATTTGTGGTATAAGATCGTACACTTTGCTACCAATGCTCAATAAACTATTAAATGATATTTTCAGCTATGAATGCCTAAAATACATATCCATTATACGTTCGGTTACGCTATTAAAAAATCATGCCTCATTCCAACACATCTCACATCACCATCACAAATCTCTTTTTACTTTCGGATAAAGATGTAATAATACCAAGAAGATGAGATACATTCATGTTTGACAAGTAGATAAAAGATTGGAATCGTTTACTCACAAGGTATTGGCATTCTTAAATTCACCAATAGTCCCGAGTTACTCGGAAATAAGGATGGCAATCTTCGTAAATTTTAAATACGAGCTAACCTTCTTCAGCACATTCATTTGTTTCTGTTAGTTGTGTCCTGAATGAACATTGAAGACTAGGATGTTAACATGTATCTATTAAGCATCCAATCTAAAACCAATTCATAATAGGCGGAACAATCAACCTTGAATATAAGACTAGGAAACTCGATAATCGATAGATGAGAGATAAAACGGCTTATGACTCCCTAATGAAGATGATGAGGAAACCGCTGGATCAGTAGGCATTGACCAAAGGAGTAGAAACCTTGGGAAATTATCTGTTTCGGCATTTGGAAAGGTGAAGGAACAGGAAGAACAAACATTGATACAATTTTGAGCATTTCCACTGATTATGAACAGTATCGTATAAGTGGAACTTCAAAGTTCTTGACTCTAGAATTAGTTCAATATGTAGAGCAAATTTCGACCATCATATATATTAGTCTTCAAACACCAACTCTAAGCTTCAGAGTCATATAGGTGCTTGTTCTTCTCCACATGGCATATCCATATTAATGTCACCAGCCACTATTATTTTCTATCATACACTTAGATTAGGGGTTCATAATATTTATAAGCATAAGTAGGAAAGTGTTGGAATCTGTCCTAAGTGTCGTAGTTGCAATCTTTGTATTGTGAACTAAAATGTAATGATTTTTTCAAACTCAAATTTGCTTAAGTCGTCGCCTTAGCTATTGGCAAGATCAAAATATATTAGAAATTGGCTCATCACTAAGTTTAGGGGGAAGTTCTAGTAAAAAGAAGATACGAGAATGATCCTTTTCTGTGAGGTTTTACATAAAACATCCATTCTAAATAAAACATCTGCCCTCCCACAACAAATATATATATCTGTGTATATATATAACGGGGTAGAAGTGAAAAAAAAAAGACATTCAAAAGAATTACCATGTCGATGTAAGACTAATACCAAGCCCATTGCAGGTAAGAATCATTCCTTTAAATCTGGCAAGATATTCCTGCATCACAATCACATTTACGCAGACCATTATAAGGTGGCCTCAACCAATTGACCTAAAGAACAATACATTCTCTAAACCAATGAAGAACAAAGAAGGCACACAAATATAATGCATGAAGTTTACTTTTGAGGCAAATGTAAACATGTTCACCACCGAATGCTGTTGCAATATGATCAGCCATGGTTAAGTTACTGAACAATTCAATAGTTCGCCTCACAAAAGTAATTTATAAATGCATTGATAAAAAACTTTCACAAACTTAAGTATTTTACACAATATATGGACTAAATAATTAGGAGTATTAAATCCACACAATAACATATAAAGGTAGAGTACTTTTTAGTTGCTGCCATTTCACATAAGAAGGTGAATCTCATTCATGATAATCAAACAAAGAAACAAAACTGCTAACTTCGACAGAATCTGAAACAATATAAATAGACAATTCCTAAAAGAAACAATATTCCAATGAATCTGATCAATATCCTTTTGCAATATTTTCGCCCATCATAGTTCTGTTCATTTGATCTTTAAATTTTCAGTTCTTCCCTTCCATAATTCTTTTGAGCATTTAACTTTGTTCTAAAGCCACCAATGACAGTTCCATTTAAACTTCTATATTGTAAAACATCAATAATTTCAAACAAAGTCACCTAAAAAACCAAACCCAGAAAGTGAAGTCAAAATGATTTTCTTTCAGTTCTCTATAACTAAAAAAACTATACCATTAAGTCAAATACTTATTTTTAAGTCAAAGCATCTCATCTAAAACTAAAAATTTGAAAATAAAGAATACCTTAGAACTGGAATCATCTTGCCTTCCATCTGCAAATGTAACGGGATAACTAAGCGAAATATTATTATTTACACACCTCATAATAATTTATCAGAATTTTCAAAGTTGAAAAAGAGAAAAAACAGAGAGGCGATTCAGATGCCACAAGTTTATGGATCTGGGACTATCTCAGAGCTTGTAGCCTGAAACAAAGTTATACTGAAAATCTGATACGTGACGTCCACGCGCCGATAAAAGACATTACCTCGAATCTAGAGAAGTAGGTGATGGAAAATGTTGAGAGTATTTGGATTATTGTTTCAGAAATAACCAAGGAGAAAAAGAATGTTTACACTTCTCTAATCAATAAAATAGATATTAATTCAAGCGGTTGAAATTTCTTTTATTAGAAAGTAGTATTGTTTAAAATATTTTTTATTGTTTAATAATAAAATTTTATATACTTTTATTATAAAATTACAAGATAATATATATTCAAAGTTAAATATCACATATAAATATAATTTTAAAAATATATTAAGTTAAATTTTAAAAGTATAAAAAATAAATTAAAATAAATAATATATTATTATTGATAGAAAAGTGAAAATTTTAAAAATATTTTATAATTATAATATTATCCCATCATTAATTTATAATTAATGATATTTTACTTCTTGATCATATTAATAATATAAATATCTCAAGCACACATATTTACACAAAAATAAATAAATAAATACATGAAAATAAAAATAAAATGTTTATAAAGACCCAATTGGTGGTTTAGACCTAAAAGACCCAAACCCTAAATTAGCTGAAAAAACGTTTTGGGCCCTAAGCCGACAATCCTCGAGTTTCTGCTGGCCGTTGCTTCCTTCAATCTCACTTCCATGTCGCGCAGCTTCATCTTCTTAACAGTTGCCGTCATTTGCTCAAGGAACTGAATTCTTGTGTTGAAGCTGTACTAAATTATCAGTAAAAGAGAACAAGATGAAGCTGGACGTCGACGTTTTAAGATATCTCTCCAAAGATGATTTTAGGGTTTTAACCGCCGTCGAGATGGGCATGCGAAATGTATGATTTTTATTACTTTTAATTTATTTTATTAGTTTATCTTTTAATTTTCATCCTTGATTATTATTTTTTATTTCGTTTTTTTTCAGCATGAAATCGTGCCTTCAGAGCTAATCGGTCGTATAGCTTCCCTCAAGTAATAATATTATTATTTTGATTTATGATTATAGATATGCCTTTTTGCGAGTAATAAAATGTAGTATTGATTTTGATTGTAGGCATGGAGGCACTTACAAGGTTTTGAAGAACTTACTCAAGCATAAACTTGTGCATCATGATTCTTCCAAATGTTAGTTTTATACTTTCTCTTTCTCTTTTCTTTTTTAAGTTCTTTTTATATATTGGTTTGAAAGTTATATTTCTTTTTTGCTTTACTGGAGTTTAATGATGAAAAACATGTTTCCTATATAGCATCAAGAATAGTTTGTATAATGTTATTGGTTTTGTTTTGCTCTATCTTGGAAATTTTTATAAGCAAAATAGTAAGTAGAAAAGCCAATAATCAAACATAACCAGTGTTAAAAAGGGTGCAAGGCGCCTTGCGCCTTATTGAAGTGAGGCGCACTTTTTAAAAATAAAAGATATACAAGTTTTCCTAATTGTGTAATCAAACAAAAAGAATAGTTCATGCAATATAAATACCAAAGAGTATTCATTATCAGCGTTTTATGTATTAAATATCACTTTTGTTCCATCAACCATTGAACCTTGAGAACCCTAGCAAAACCCCCTTTCTTGCTTGGTCTACACTTCTATATAAGAAACTGAAACAATAAATAAAAGTCTAATAATGAATTGATATCAACTTCTTACTTGTCTCATTTTTATCCCTCCATCTCTCACCTCTCAACAAACGTGTCTTCCTCCTTGTTAACACCACCTACACCCTAAACCCCTCATCTATCCACCCTAATCCTCCATTTTCGTATTTCTAAATTGTGTTTCCAAACTTTTCTTTCTTTCTCATGGATTCAAATTTCACCATGTGCTAATCGTGCTGCTCAAGAACCCATCACTATGCAACAAAACTCATTGAAACCTATCTTTTCCTCCTCGATTCTCAATTTGTGCATGCATGCCTCTCTCTGATTTTGCTTGCTTAGTCGGTTGTCTTTTTTAACACCAAAAGTGGCCTCTATTTATCCTCCTCTGTTTCTCTCTTTCAAACTTCAAGACAAACAGTAATTATACAAGGTAAAGCACCCCCTATCTGTATTTGACGCCAATTTTTCATATGTCTCCCATGAAACTCTCTTTTCTAATCACCCCCACCATTTTTTACTCTTTTCTTCATTGACATTTCATTTTTACTTCTATTCTGTTGTTGATAACTTGATATATAAGTTGGCATGTAAAACATAAAAAAAGACCAAAAAAAAAACAACAAAAAATTGAAAAGGCGGCGCCTTTCTGCTCCTCAGCGCCTAGTGCGCCTTAGGCGTGCCTTGCTGTTCTTCATTGAAATCGCCTCGCCTAGACCTAATTAGGATCTTCACCCTCGCCTCGCCTTGGCGACTAGGCGCACCTGAGTTGCGCCTTTTTAAACACTGAACATGACCATTATGTGTTTTACAATTCTTCTATGCATATAATTTTTTCAAGATGTGTTGGTACATGAGTTCTCAATAAACTGGTTTCCCTTGCAAATTTGAGCCACTCAGATGTCTTGGTTTGAACAAAGGGAAGTAAAATATTTTACTTATTTTGAAGAGATCTTATCTTATACTGGAGTTTTTACCACCCTCCTAATTTGAAGTTTAAATCTGTACTAGTTCTTCTTTATGTTTTATGTAAAATTATTTTAATACTCATGTAATAATTAAGCTTTTCATTGTGCTAACTAATACTTGTGTAACCAAACAAGGCGTTAAAGTTATCTTTTCCCTCTTAAATTTAGATGATGGGTTTCGTCTTACGTATCTTGGCTATGATTTCCTTGCCATTAAAACCATGGTCAACCGTGGAGTCTTCACCGCTGTTGGTCGTCAAATTGGGGTTGGCAAAGAGTCTGGTAACTCTTTCTATCAACATCTACCAGCTTGTGTATTTTAAAATGTTTAATGACAGTTAACATTATCTTATTTTTTGCTTGTTCAAGATATCTTTGAGGTTGCGAGTGAAGATGGTACTGTGATGGCAATGAAGTTGCATAGGCTTGGTAGAACTTCCTTTAGGGCCGTCAAATCTAAGCGTGATTATTTGAGACATCGTAGTAGTTATAATTGGCTCTATTTGTCCCGGTTAGCTGCACTCAAGGAATTTGCATTTATGAAGGTTTCTTTTTTAAAATGTTTTCCCATTACGTCCTTTGTTTCTTTCTTGTAGTAAACAAAAGTAGGACTTATGCGTGTACTTCTCTTATTCAGGCTTTGGAAGAGCATGGTTTTCCTGTACCAAATGCTGTGGACAGTAATAGACATTGTGTAGTTATGTCACTTATCCAAGGTTACCCACTGTAAGGGTTTCTCCTTAATCCTATGGATTTGTTTGCATATAATCCTGTTGCATGTGTCAAGTGGCTTTAGCATCCGTCCTTAGCAAGTGAATGAATAAAATTGGTTGTTGGAAAGAAGCGTATAGAATTATAACTTGTTGCCCCTTAAAAACTAAATCTTTTTCATCCTATTTCTCTTGAAATGAGTTCAACATAGTTGATGAGAGTAGGCTTAGCTGTTTCAATAAATTTTACTGATTATGTTAATTAGTGTGGCAGTTTTAAATAAGTTTGCTATGTGTTGTCATAATTGCATTATAACTCTAGGTTTTATCTTCATATTGTGTTGGTAGCTACTTTTTTACCCCCCCTTTTTCATCTTATCTTTCTTTCATTGGACTTTCAGTCACTTTTACTGTCTATTGGATTTACTTGTTATCTCATTCCCCCCGCCCCCCCGTAATGCAGTGTTCAAGTGAAACAGCTGCAAAACCCAGAGACAGTATTTGAAACAATCATTGGCCTTGTTGTTCGTCTGGCAGAACATGGCCTAATTCATTGCGACTTCAATGAGTTTAACATAATGGTATTCCTTTGAGACACTTTATTTTATCACAATGACCATTTTTTTTTCTAATCTAAGTTGTTTTCTTGTTGGCTGGCAACTTTAGTAAGATCGTGTCATTACTTTGTGTCAATTTCCTTCAATTAAAAAAGAAATGCTTCTTTTAAATTAATAATATGAATTTGAAATTTCTTCTCTGTAGATTGATGATGATGAAAAGGTGACAATAATTGATTTTCCCCAAATGGTATCTGTTTCACACCGTAATGCACAGATGTATGTTTCACAATCTTCTATCTGATGCTGTTCCTAATTCTCGTGATCACTTTACTTGTGAATTAGTTGTTGTATACTTATTTATTTCAAATTTTCTGTTATGATCAGGTACTTTGATCGTGATATAGAATGCATTTACAAGTTTTTTGGCAAGAGGTCAGTAGTCGTTTTTCTAATTTAATATTCCATTATATATGGTCATTTTTTGACAAGTTTGTTGGCATAGGCTGTGAGTTCATTTACTTTGATTCTCCTCCATGGATAAATATCTATGGAGGTAATTATTTTGGCCTTAGTAAACAACCTCGTCTTGTATTTGAACACCATGATTTCTGAGTTTTTTTTACCCGGGAGGGGATTATTGGGTTCTTACTTTCAAATGATAACCTTCTCTAGCTGCATTTGTTTTTGTCCTATCCTATTTGTAGTTGAAGATGAAGTTGTGGTTGCTCTAGGTAAAAAATTTCAATAGAAACATGCCTTGATCAAATTCCTCATGGTGACAGTTGAAGCTTGAAACGACTATGCTTACTTTTACTTAACTCTCATTAAGTGGCATTCATTCCGAAAGAGAACTCCATGAACTTTTAAATTGTACAGAGAAAAAAATAGTTAAGTGGCTACAACAAACTCCCTTTAGTTGACGTGTTATGTTTGAAGTATTTGTGTTATTGTACTCAACTTAGTCACGAAGACAAAGGAACTCTAATAATTATTTTGTGATCCCTTTTTCTTTGCATAAAGTCTTTGAATTCCGAAGCAATATAATCCATGTATCGTTGTCTATGTTCTCATTTTCTTCGGTACATATGAATACCTTGATGAAAGCCTATCCCATTTTCTTTCTTGCTGCAATCTATGCCTATTTATCTTTTCTTGTCTTTGTAGGTTTAACTTGTCCTTTGAAGAACGTTCTGATGATATTGGTAACTCAGATGTAGACCCAGATGAAAGTAGCAGACCTTCCTTTTCTTCAATAGCCAAAACTGCCGGTTTTCTTGACAAGGAGCTTGCTGCCAGTGGATTTACTAGAAAAGATGAGGATGAAATTCAGAAAGTACGGTGAAGCATATTTTACTGTAATTACCATTTTATGTGCTTGCATGTGTTTTATGCATTGGTAATCTATTCTTTACCTATGCCATGTGCTGAAGTCTTCTTTCAGACTTTCATAGGATCATATCATGCATAATAATTGCAGCTAATGCTACTTTTTGCAGTTCATTGAAGGTGATGTCGAAGAGGATGATGTTTCTCATGGTGAACATGATTCTGAGTTATATCAAACTAATATAAAGGGTTTTGATTCATTGCACTTAGATCAGGTGTGTTCTTCTGGAGCTTTTGGATTATGAACATTTCTGAGTTATTACAAACATAATATACATATCTGGATGCTGATGATCTTACCACAAAACAATTCAGGAAGAGCCAACTTCAAATTGTAACAAGGAAGATCAAGTAGAAGAAAATCTGCATAGCTCTGAAGCAGGCCCAACCTGTGATCCTGAAGGTCAAAACTTAAGCAATGAGGTATATATATTTTCTTTATCCAAACTATATTCGTATCTATTCTATATTTTCTTGAGGATGCTGATAATGCTAGTTTTGATGTTACAGGATGAAGATGAGCAGAATGGTGACGAAGATGACACCGAACTCATGAAGAGCTTGGCCAAGCAGAGACGACGTGCAATGGCAGCAGCACGCAAAGGACACAAGAATAATACCTCTAGAAATTCCTACAAAGACAAAGGGGGTAAATCTTCTAATAATTCTAAAATTCAGAAACAATTGAGTAGTTGGTAAATTTTAGCATTGATCCAGCACAATATGAGATATATGTAAAAATGCATCCTTGTATTTTTACAGTACGTGCCCATGGAAACGATTCGATACTATAGTTTCTTTATCTGCTGATTAGATCAGAGAGGCAGGACCATTACCTAGAACATATTGATCATCAAATGATAATTTTTATGCTTTTACTATTTTTTGTTTTTATATTTATATTATATATATTTAACTTGAATTGTATTTGGATCAAGTTTGTCGATTATATTTTGCAACCATGTTCTGCCTTGTTCCGGTCACTTCGTTGTGTGTTTCTGCATATTGACATGTATCAGTTGGCAAGATTTTGATCTTATAAGTTTATTTCTAGTCGTCTTCAAACATTAGCATTTTTATTTATCGACTTAATGTAGAAAAAATTGTCTAAATTATACATTTTTCTAACTTTCTAACTTTAAGTGTGTAAAGAATTTTTCGCTTGAAGCATGTCTTAACGCTTCTAGGAATGGCAAATGGGCGGGACGAGTGCGGATACCCCATCCCTATATCCACTTAATATTTTTATACCCATACCTACTCACTATCTACAACGGATAAATTTTTTAAATCTACATCTCGTACGAGTATATTTTCAAATTCACCCAAACTCACTACCCAATTGGATACTCACCATCCGTTTGTATCTGCCAATATTCATGTAGCAGTAACCTAACATATTACATAAATTACAAAATATAAAACACAACATCCATTAATAAACATGATAAAATAAAGGTTTATATCATAAATAAATATGTAAAGTATATCCATTAAGTAATAATACATAAAAATATAAATAAATCAAAGTTTACAAACATCCAAGTTAAATATAATATAGTTCAACATTTGTATACAAACATAAACAAAGCATTAACATAAGAAAACACTTAGGATGATGAATTCTTCGTTTGATTCTGCTGCATCATCTTTTTCATAGTTTCAATTTGATTTTGAAGTTCTTCATATTTTTCTGAAATGCTGCTTCTCTTGCTGCTCTCTCTGCTTCTCTCGCTTCAGCTTTCATTTTAGCAATTTTTTCATCAACTTAACTCTACTGTTATTTTAATCGATTAACTTCTTGTTGAGAAGATTGGTTGTGTGATGGCATGAACTGATATGAGCTGGATCCAAAATATTTTGTTGGAGTAGCGAATGATCCCTGACATTGAACTCGACCATATCTTTCAGGACTGAAAACTTCAGCAATAACTTGATTTTCAATCTCGTCCGCATTAATAGAAGCATGGGATGAAGCCGTAGCTTCGTACTCTACCCTTTTATCGCTCAATTTTTCCTGATAATCAATTAAGAATTTAGAAAAAATTCAAACATTATTTAAAAAATTGTTATACTATAAATATAACATAATGCAAATTTTATGTCCAGTAAATATACCATAATTTCTGTAGCTTCATGAGCCATAGGAGAGCCGTATTTTTTGTATACGTCATTTCGAAGAGCTTTATTCGTCCAACTCTATTACCGGACGTGATTTCCTACAATGTAGAATATAAATTAATACTTGTAAAAAAGTAATAAATGAACTTGAACTGTTGGTTTCAATGACCAGGACCTTGCATTACCAAAGCAATAATCACAACAGTAGCAACCAGGACAACCAAATCTCCTATGTCACACTAACTTTGTAACTTTGAAAGATTATTCACAAAACAATTGTTAAGTCACAATAAAGACAATAAAGTCATTGTTTTTGCGAGCCAAGTATTTGAATCAAAGCAATTGATGTTGTTCTATCAGCTTATCAAATACACTATCGATATATGAACTTCAACGAACTTACTATCAAATTCACACTCAGAGCATTAGATTATCAAGGAAAAACAACTTAAACACCATTCTCACTTTAATTATGAAGAAACAGTCTCGAACTTGAACAAACAACATGCCTCACATGTCCTAAAAAATCAATAGCACACCAAAAATAATCATCCTAAGAATCAAGTCTCAAAGTCATTGAACTAAGAAAGATTGTGTACCCAAAATAAATATTAAACCATCCCAATCACTTTTACTACTTATAATATAAAAACAGGAACTAGAACAATGAAGCAAAACTAGCATTGATCGATACCATTGAAAATCATTTTCATTTGAAGCCCTGGAAATTCAAAAAATTTAGATGTTCAACCTGAAATTAGAGACCTGAAAATTCAAATAAAAGCAACATATCCAAAATCATAAATAAAAAAAAAATTACATACTAAACCGAAAAAACAAACAATACCCAAATCTCCAATTAGAGTAAAAACTGAGGAAATAGGGGAAATATGAAGACTAAAAGAGTAAAAACCCTAGTACAATGCTCATGCTAGAAAAAAAAGAGAGAATAAAACAACACAACAACAAACAACAACTGAGACTAAAAGAGTACCAATTTTTCAGCCTTGAGGGGTGACTGGCGGCGCAACAATGATGATTGGTGGTGCAATGGTGGTCACTGGCGGTGCGACGGTGCTGAGTGGTGCACCGATTTGATGAAGATGCACTGCTAATCCAAGGAAGAACTTTAGAGAGATAGAAGATGCGCTAAAAAATTAGGGATCGGGCAGGAGAATTGGGGATATATGATAAAGGATTGAACAATAGATGTATTTATATTAAAAACGCTACTAAGGTACATAACTATTGCAACATTTATTACAAAAAGGTCACTAAATTACATGATTATTGCAACATTTATAACAAAAACGCCACTAAAGTACAAGTCTATAGCGGCGTTTGTTCACAAACACCATGAAAGTCTTAGTCTTTCACGGCGTTTGTATACAAAAACTACTAAAGTAAGAGTATTTTGTGGTGTTTGGTCAAAAAACACCGTTATAAATGACGCAATACAACTCTATTGCGGCGTTTGTTGAAAAAATGCCACTAAAGTACTAATCTATTACGACGTCTGTTGTAAAAACGCTACTATATATGAATCTTATTACGACATTTTTTCACAAATTCTGCTAAAGTACTCCCTATTGCGGTGTTTGTTGAAAAAGTTCCACTATATTTGAACCCTATTACGAAATTTGTATAAAACACCACTAAATTTACCATTTTACGGTGTTTTGAATGGAAATACCGCTATATGTTTAAAGTTAATGGCGTTTACTCTCAAAACGCCGCTAAAAACACCGCTATAGAACAATTTTGCTGTAGTGATTGCTATAGCTAGAACTAGGTGTCACTAACTAGTCCTAAGATTCTTGTCTAATGGTATTTGCAAAGGAAAAACAAGTAGTAGCAAACAAATGCAAAAAGGTATGGCCAGGGCAAGAAAAATTTTAAAGTGAAGTGAGTAGAAAAGTTTTGTCATGGCGAGAAAAATATGCGAAGGTAAACAAATAAAATTTTTCAAGGCAAAGAAAAATGTTTAGTTCAATATATTTTGAAAAACCTCACACAATTAGACCTCTAAAGGAACACTTGGGTTGGATTCTCTATGGCAAAAAAATATTCTATGTTTAGGATGATTTAGTATGTTATGCCTATACTACCCGACAAGATTTACTAGAGTGTTCTTAAAACTTTTGCTACTGCAATACTACCCAGCGTGAACTACAGCCCTTAGTTGGTCAAACTGTTGTTGTGGCAATACCCCTCAGCGTAAATTATAGTTGTAACCTATCTACTCAAGCATTTACCCTTCTTAGTCGAATGAAACCCTCTCCTTATATCTAAGGCAGATTATAACCTCACCATCCTGGATTAGGTCCCTTGTTCACGTAGATCTAACCTAACTCTTTCGAATATTAGGTATCAACCCCTAGAAAACTGGAAATCCTTCAAAAGCTCTTATAAAGACTAGGAATGTTTTGCAGTGACTCAAACAATCTTTCAAAAGCTCATACAATGCCAAGGCAAAAAATTAAAACAGTGAACAAAACAACATTTAACAAAAACATACTTAATCTTTCATTAATAATTGAATAAAATATCATTCAAGCATTTCCAACACCAAATAAAATAGTTTATGGTGTGACAAACATCATCCCAAAAATAATCTTTAAATACAAGACCTTAAATGACATGGAAATAAAGAATAAGATGAAGAAAAAATATCAGAAAAAGGCTATGTCATGACATCACACCACTACTATGACTGCTCTAGCAGCCAACCTCTGTCGAGGGCTTGGCCACTAATTTGGCAAAGCCTAGATATGGAGGAAACCAAGGACAGTTGAGTGGGGGATTGTGGAAAAGGATGTGCTACAACCATCTTTCTCCAAGCCTCACTTTTTAGGGTATGTTATCTCCTCTCCTTTAGAGTGATATAATGAGATATTTATAGTGGGAATTTCTAGGGTTTAGTGCAATTGGAAATTCCCTAAATACACTTTGTTTCATGCCTATTGTGTGAATAATATGGCAGATGGTAGTGGTTCCAAATTCCTTAGCAGGGGCATGGTTTCACGTGAGGTGTATTGGACTGCTGGCCAAGTGACGTTAGTAGTTTTTTCTTTTGTGGTGCGTCAGACTTGTGAGATAAAAAATCGTATTGGCAAGAAAATGCATTCCTCATAGTCGTCGTCTTCTGTTACACTGGCCTTAACAAATTAATTTGTCTCGGCAAATAAATTCTTCCTCAGTAATTTCCTGCATCATCACAACCAACAAATAACCTTCTCCTCAGCAGTATCGGTTTAGTCAAATAAACTTTGCCTCGACAAAATTTATCCAGCACAAGCAAATATTTCCTAAATGCAACTGTATGCAACTAAAAGGCTATGCCAATGTCTTTTAGACAATCAATAACTTAAGTAGAAGGACCTAAAATATAGTCTTTATATGGAGTTATCACACCCCCAAACTTAAGCTATTGCTTGTCCTCAAGCAATGGAGAATGAGCAGTATAAACATAAAGTGTCAAGGTAAAGTATAAATTAGATCAATCAAGTGGTTTAAAATTTCATCCCTCAGCAACAAGTTTATCTTTAACATGCTAGACTAAATTAGAAATCAAGCACCTTCCCATAGGTTAAGACTCTTTGTCAGTGTGTGTACGTGATTATATCTAGTATATGCTTAACGAATTTACAAAACTCTTAAGTAAGTTCTTTTGTTTTGCCAAGGTATCAAATTATTCTTTAAGAATAGCTTCACTCCTGTTTATTCAACATGTAACTTCAAATTTTTTTCAACACTGCTTTAAGGGGAGTCAGCTCATCACACCTACCGTCCCACACTCTAGGTGAAAGGGAGCATACCTTCCACCCCCGAGCTAGTCAGGTAGAGTCATCC